CTGGTGTGGAGGGTAAAGGAGGAACTGACCCAGCAGGTCCAAGGCCTGCGCAGAAGCATCAGGGAGTACCTCCTCCAGAGGCACCGGCGCCTGCTCCTTGAAGGAGATCTTGTTGTAGTCGGGCAGCTCTGTGATCTCCTGAGGCCAAAAGAGGAAGGTGCACTGCGAGCAGGCTCCACCTCACCGCTCCCTGATGCCAGCTCTTAGTCCCCCATTCTCAAGTTGGCAGCTCTCCTTCCACATGCCCCATTATCACCGGGGTTCACCTACACATGCACCCTGTTTGTCCCCATCACCCTGAGGCCTACTGCAGGCCCAGCTTGCTGAGATGCTATGCATGCAAGTGCTGGGATAGGGATGGGCAGGGGACAGATCCTGGCTCTCCCACCTCCTGCGGAGCAGGAGAGAAGAAGCCCCTGCAGAGCAGGACAGTGGTCCTTGTTGGTCAAGGGAGGAAGGGTCCCTGGGACATGGTGCAGAGGGAGCATCACTTCCTGCTGGGGAATAGAGTAAGCCTGCCCTTTCCCCACAAGGGGTTACCACTGACCGGCCAAACCCGAGGGCTCGGGGTGCCCAGGATGTGAAGCACACAGCAGAGTTGCTCGATGTCATTATCTCCCGGGAAAAGAGGGGACCTGTTCAACAGCTCTCCCATGATGCAGCCCACGGCCCTGTGGATGCAAACTTCAGCAGCTACAAAGCTCTAACACCTTACAGAGTCAAAGCCCACCCAGCAGTGTGCAGTGCAGGCATGTAGATCTCCAGAGACCTGAGCTCTAGAACAAAGCAGCCCCAACAGCTCTGAGAGCCTCAAGTCTGGGGTATGAAAGCTCCTCTTCCACTTTCTGGAGCAGAAATGCAAAAGAGCCCAAATCTCAGACCTTTGGATACCACAAATCACCTCCCTAACTTTCCAAAAGACTGAGCCTTCATACCTAGGGTCACAAGCCTCTCACTAGCTCAGACATCCCATCCTGGGGTTGGATGCCTAAGCATGCTGCATTCCTTGAGCCTCAGACCACCCCCATACCCAGAAGTCTCCCACCTGAGACAACTACTTTCTTAACCATCCCCCTACCCAACTCAAAATCAGGGTAAAGAACACAGACCCCAAACTTTCTGTGAACTACTCTAACCAGGGAAGACTTCCCCACAACCCACATTACCCTCACCTGATCTAGGAGTCTCACCATAGGTCGACGCCCTGGTCATACTGTTGAGCACCATACAAAAGTTCAGGAGCTTGGTACCACCTGGGGGAAGAGGGTTCAAGGTCACAGCTGCACTGCTCATCTGACAGGTCCAATTCATCCCAGCCTCATAACCCACATCTGGACAGAAGATGCTGAAGTATTTCTTCTCCAGTAAGAGGATATAGCCCCACTACGTGGTAGCAACCTGTTGTGTGTAGAGGCGACTACCATCTGGAGAGAAGACCTGGGCCAAGCCAAAGTCAGCTATCTTGAGCTGGCCTGAGGCACTGATGAGCAGGTTGGCAGGCTTCAGGTCCCAGACATACAAAAGGAAGCATCAGTCTCCCTGTGTCT